TGCAGCTCAAAACCACATTCAAATACCCCGGGCCAATGCAGTACTGACTGCAAAGTCACCCCTGAATGGCCATGAAACGGCCATAAGTCTATGCAGACAGCCACCATAAAACCAGAGATCAAATGAAGTGAAAGTGGCATGCAGTCTGGACATTGCCATAAAATCCAACAATCAATCAAAGTGGAAGTGGCATGCAATGCAGAGGGGAATTTCTGGTCCAGCTTGGGTTTGGTAAAACAGCGGAGCAAATGTTAGATTTATTTATTTATTTATTTTCTACCCTGCCCTCCCCGCCATGGCAGGCTCAGAATGGGCCAAGGAAGTCTGTGAGATCATTGGTTGCAAATAACCTTAAACCACTTAGGAGCTGCGGTGGCTCAGAGGGTTAAGACACTGAACTGCAGGCTGTGGAAGGTCAGTAGTTCAGCAGTTCGAGACCCGGGTGCCACATGACTGAGTGAGCTCCCGTCTCTAGTTCCAGCTCCTGCCAACCTAGCAGTTCAAAAGCAAGAAATTGCAAGTAGATAAATAGGTACCACTTCGGTGGGAAGGTAACAGCATTCCATGCGCCTTGGTGTTTAGTCATGCCGGCCACATGACCATGGAAACGTCTTCGGACAGCGCTGGCTCTTCGGCTTTGAAACTGAGATGAGCACCGCAACCCTAGAGTCGGACTCGACTGGCTTTCGAGCAAGGGGAACCTTTACCTTTAAAAGTGCTTAGTTTAGACTGCATGGCCCAAGCCTCTACACAGCACTGAAGCAGCACACACACCAAATTTCTAACCCCTTTTCAAATACATCAGAAACATGGAACATTCAATATTACGATCACATTTTCCTTCTACCTGCCTGAAGTTCTGATATTTGACTACTTATCCCCACTCAGAATAAGAACTGCATTCACATGAACAAAGGCAAACAAAAATGTATGTAGAGCTTGTTGAGGATGGGCATGTCTTACTTCAGTACTCGGCATCCAAGTGATTTATAGGAGTACATACAGAAGTTCACGTCTTCCTTGGAAGGCGGATCCCACTGCATGAATTTGTATGAAGACATCCGAGCCTCGTCCTGCACTCTACAGGTAAAGTGTTCCCTGCTCCTGTGGTTGAACAAGACACCTTAGGAAAGGATCGCTAGCGTGGTAACCAAAGTGACGGAAATCACCAAAGGTGTTCTAACCCCATCTCATGCCTAGGGGCAGGCCCACCCATCCACCATTCTAGGCAGTCTAGACGACAATGTCCCATAATAGAACTGATGTACTGCACAAAACTACTTACAGAGCAAATAGCTGTTGACAACTCAAGCAAAAGGACAGAGGCACATTCGACACAGGAATGCAGTTCCCACCCATTGCTATGAAGCCTGTTTAGCCCAACTGATTATTCCTTCCCAAACCAAACAAGAGTAAAATCGTTCCACACCACCCCCCAATATTTTGCCTGCTCTCATCTCCTAAAAAGAACATTTGAAATTGTACAGTGCAAAATAAGCATAAGTTGAATATGGGAGTTGAAATCTTCGACAAACTGGTTTTTTGTTAAAGCTTTGACTGAGTTGTGGTTATAGAGAGCTTGTAGTTAATACACACAGCTACAAACAGGGCCTTGATATCACTTTAATTATTGCACAGTATGCAGGGCATATTAACAGATGGTGACTGATAAACAAAAATATATTTATTTCCTAGCGAAACAGATATGCCCAGGTACCTTTAAGTTAAAATATGATTACTGATAACATTGATGCTACTCAAATGCTATAGATATAGTTCTACTACTTTTAAATGGGCAGGTCTGTTTTTTTTAATACATCACAGCCTACAAAGAGGCCATCATCCAGATGTACAAAATTAGACCAGAAAAGCCACAAAGAAAATAAAAAGTAACCTTCTAGGCACCTTTCCCAATCATTAAGGAGACATATTCACTTGTTAGACCCATTCCCATCCCTACATGACCGAAAAAGCAAAAGACAGGGCAGGTAAATGTGATGCACTCTGATTTTAACTGGCACAGAAAAGTTTGGATTGGCTAAGATCTGTGAGTGTGTACAGATACTTTCCAGATAGACAAGCTCCAAGAAAGTTGTTGCAAACTGCAGTAATGCTGCAGTGTGTGCAAACAACTTAACCTTTCTTTAAGCGTGTTCCTTAAAAACTAAACAAGTCACTATTCTTGCTTGGTTTTTCTAGTGAGGTTTAAATACTAACTTACAGTGCAATCCTGAAAGCATCCTGCCAGTTTAAGCATTGGGTACTTCAGTAGAGAACCCCTTAGAAAACCAGACCCTCCTGTAGAAGAAATATTTACAAAACACCATAAACCAGGCCCAATTCATTCTTTATGATGAAAATTTTTTCAGTACATACCCTGTGCATACCTTGGAAAGGTGTGCATGGGGTGGGGTGGGGGCGAATCATAGGAGGCAAGTTTTGACAAAAAGAAAATAAAATTTCTATTTCAAGGCACAAATGCTGGAGTCAGCAAAATGAGCTACAATCTCCCATCTTCTAAGTCCAACTTTCATCCCAACAGCAGCTTCCCCCCCCCTTACAAGAGCATTTATCATAAATCTTCTCTGTTACTCGCCACTACTTCTTATCAACTAAGCCAACACGTTTCAGCATGACGAAAGCACCGTTTTAAAAGCCAGCCCCGCTCATTAAATTATCGTACTGACTGTGTGTTCTCATTAAAAATGGATATAGATCAGATATCTGCAGTCACTATTACTAGCCTAGCCTTCCCTGATTTTATGTAAGGGCCCCAGGGTGGTGCCAAGTTTGAAAATGGCAAGGGGGGGAAAGATTTCTCAAACAGACCACAGTATGAGATTCTCTGTAATACATATTTATAATTTCCTCCGTTCTTTTCTAGACATAGATATATCAGAAACTGGCAGTTATTTTATTTTATTACCACAGAGTTTTGCTAAAACCATCACATTTAGCTTATAGTGATTTAGCAGGCTCATGGGACAAAATAGTCTAATACCATGATCTCCCTTCCAATATATCTAACAGTAAAGTTCATTAATTTTTCCCTCCGAGGTACAAAGTTCTGATTTATTTAGACAAGGAATACTTTTTAGAAGACGCTGCCTTCTTTTTTTTTTTCCTTTACGTAATTTTTTTGCATATGTGTATTCTCTTTTAAAATGGGAGACTTAACCCATCTTTGTGATCTGTACAGACAGAGCCATTCAAATCGCTTGGAGCTGAAATTTGCTTAAGCAATAAACAAGCTCACCTACACAGGATCCTTTGTGCACTGGAGAAATCTCATTTCCTTGACTCCCCCCCAAGCCACACATATGGTATGCAGCACACTGCAGCAAACTCTTTAAACATTCAGTAAAAGAAAACAGCCTCCTACCTACCTTGTACAGCTTTGTCTATCAGACACTTCTATCACACCAGCAGAAACCTCCAAATGTAACAGCAGCCTTGTATTTTCGGTTGCATCATAGTGACGAATAGAGTCTCCTGTGGAACAATTATCACTGCTTGTTTTCTCCCGCCTCACTGAAAACACTGTATGCCTGATCTGGGGATTTTCCTTTAGATGATGAAGCAAAGACAGCCTGAACTCTGTCGGTGAGCGACTGCAGCCCTTCCTTCTAGCGAAATCCCTCCCAGAACACTGTAACCAATCACGCAAAAGTTCAGCAGCTCTACTGGTCTTAAACTGGTTGGAAAGCCGTGATTGACAAGGCGGTAGGGCTTGCCTAAATGTACACAAAAACAATACGTCCATGCCAATGAAAGAGGGATCTCCCCCTCGCCCTGGAAAATGGTGTTTTCTGGGAAGGTAAAACGACACCTACAAAATACCCCAGAAATTTAAGACCGGGGATGCAATCTGAAGCTAAAGCCCTGATTCACTGGAGGGGATATTTTAGACAGCTTTTAAAGGAGACACAGGAGGGCAGGTGTAGTCTGAGGGAAATAACCAACGTCTTCAACCTGCAGTACTGATCCGAATGCAAAACACTAGTGATTTCTCTCAGAAGCAGCCCACTGGTGCTAATGGGTCTACTCTGGGCTGAACGGACTGCAGTTAACCAGACGTTATCTGTCGACGCCGGGAGATTAATATGCATTGAGTCTATCAAAATATTCTAACCGTCCCTTTCTGAAAAGGGTGCCCAAGATGATTCAGATGAATTCAAGCTACAAGTTGCTGTGGCAATTGCATTTCGACCTGAGCGGTGTATACGTGCATTAATTAATGCCACGAAAAGGTCACATTTCCAACTCCTGTCATTTATTTCTTCTCCAAATTTTAAAACAAAGCAGATTTTTAAGAGCCCATTTAGTATGCATGAAATAGGCACCAGTAAGAGATGAGCTTTCAAATGGTGTTCAGTATGGAACACTATTGTATATCTGGAAATATATATCCAAATACATCTATCTATCTATCTATCTATCTATCTATCTATCTATCTATCCATCCATCCATCCATCCATCCATCCATCCATCCATCCATCCATCCAGTATAACATTTGAATCACTGCCAAGGAGTCCTTCAGAATATGCAGATTATTTTTATTTATGCGAGATATACTTTAACCTATGCTCAAAGCAGTACTGCAAGGACGTTAAAAACACACAACAGCCCTTCTCAGCATGTACTACAGTCAATTTGAGTCCAAGAGTTTGCATTCCCCCCCTCCCAGTACATCCTGTCAAAATTTGCTTGATGAAAACAAACTGTACCCCCCCCCAAAAAAAACAGCTAAGAACTTGCTAGCAAACATGGATTTGCATATTGTGTGAAATGGCCCTGACTGACATGAAAAAGAGTTGGGCACCATTCCTATCATCTTACCTGATGGTTTTATGCATGTCTCTCAGGGGGCGGTCCTCTCCCCAATGTTATTCAACATCTATATGTGCCCCCTCGCCCAGCTGGTCCGGGGGTTTGGGCTGGGTTGTCACCAGTACACTGATGATACCCAGCTGTATCTGTTGATGGACGGCCATCTGGACTCCGCCCCAGATATTTTAGCCAGGGCATTGTAGACTGTGGCTGGTTGGCTGCAGCAGAGTTGACAGAAACTAAATCCATCTAAGATGGAGGTCCTGTGTCTGAGCCATGGGGGGGGGGGCGAGAGCGAGAATCCAGCTCCCAACCTTTGGCGAGGTATTCTTTTTTATTATTATTGTTTATTTTTTTATTTTCTAAACTACAAACCTACAGGGTCAGGGGGAGGGAACCTAAAATAAAGAGAAACAAGGATCCATGGTACAGAAATATAAGATTGTTGATACATCTCTGTTAAGTATGCAACTCAACAACGATGTAAGTAACAAGTGAATCAGCTTTATTAAGAACTCCAAAGATCACACAAGACGACACACGACAAATTACAGTGGAGCACAGCTCCTTTTTAAACACTCCCGGGCTGGTGTAGCCACACCCTTGCATAGTTAAGGTCCAATCATATTACATAGCTAACAACCAATCCATTTTGTTCCCTCCATTACAGTCCCTTACATTTGATTGGCCAATGAGATTGTTCCAGATTAGAATCCTGGCTAAGGTTTCAAGCTTAACATTACTTGTCAATGGTAAAGACACAACAATTCCTCCCCCCTAAGATGGAACAATACCCAGACATATGTAGTCCTTCAAGTAGGGAGGGGCACACCTTGTTCGACCTGACCTGTGAATAGGTTCTGGTGGTGCTAAGGCTTCGGGGCCCTGGATGGCTAACTGTCCAGTAGTCTGGCTGGCTTGTCTCAGAGGTGTCACTGTCCTGAGTGGGGAGTAACCCACACTCAGGTTCTATTGGGGGCTCCGCAACACTCACATCTGGAGGCCCTCGTTGCTCACCTTCTGGGTGAGGGATCGAGTCAGGTTTGGTGCTGGACTCGAGACTGGAGTCAGCCCACCTCTGCCTGAGCTGATCTATGTGGCGCCGCAATTTCCTGCCATCTGCTAGCTGCACCACATACATACGGGAACCCAGAACATCACAGATAATGGCGGGAAGCCATAAGTGACCCTCTCCGTAAATGTGCGTGAAAACCTTGTTGTTAGGTTTGAAAATGCGCGGGCTTTCCAGGACCTCTGTTCTGGGGGGCTGAGTTTCTGTCAGGTCCGGATGGAGCCTGTCCAGAAGGGTTGTACACCTATGACCCATAAGGAGCTCTGCTGGGCTCCTCCCAGTTGCTGTACAGGGAGTGATATGTTGCCTCAGGAGGAAAGAGGCCCCCAGTCCCCAACTTCTTAAGTGCCTCCTTAGTTGTCCGAACCATCCGTTCGGCTTGCCCATTTGTGGCTGGATGGAACGGCGCAGACAGTATATGTTTAATTACATTGTCCCCCAGAAACTTTACAAAGTCTCCTGAGGTAAATTGGGGCCTGTTATCGGACACTAACACGTCCGGTAGCCCGTGGGTGGAAAAGACCCGGCACAACACATTAATTACAGCCTGCGACGTTGTAGACTTCATATGAGTAACCTCAAGCCATTTGCAGAAAGAATCAACCAAAATTAAAAACATTTGGCCTTGAAATTGCCCAGCAAAATCAATATGTAAGCGAGACCAAGGCTTGCTAGTGCTTTCCCAGTGTTGGACCAGGGCTTGATGCGGGTCAGGTCCTGATTGCTGGCAAGTCATACAGTGCCGGACCCAGTCCTCGATGTCAGCATCTAACTTGGGCCACCAGACATAGCTTCTTGCCAGAGCTTTCATGTGGACTATGCCTGGATGGCCATCGTGTAGAGCTTCCAAGACTCTTGCCCTTAGCTTGGGCGGCACCACCACCTGGTTCCCCCACAACAAACAACCTTAGTTAACTGAGAGTTCTGTTTGCCTTGAGTGGTAAGGCCAAAACTCTGGTTCCACTCGACCTGCTGGCCACCCCCTCCAAACCGAGTTAAGGACTCGGGAGAGGGTAGAGTCCTTAGCCGACACAGCGGCAATGTCCGATGAGTGGACCAGAGGCTGAGGCAGTTCGTCAATAGCCATCACATCATATGCGGGAGCAGGGTCAGAGTCAGTTTGTGGCAGAGGGCAGCGGCTTAGAGCGTCCGCATGTCCGACTGCCTTGCCAGGCCGATGTTCCAGGTCGAAATCATACGCGGAGAGAAACACAGCCCAGCGCAACATGCGGGGCGACATGACATGAGGCATTTGGCGGTCAGGAGCAAAAAGTTCCAGCAGCGGTTTGTGGTTGGTAACAAGGAGGAACCGGCGGCCATATACAAAGTCATGGAATTTTTAAATTCCTGCCACCAACGCTAGGCCCTCCTTGTCGATCTGGGCATAGTTTTTCTCTGCAGCCATTAGAGACCGCGAATAATAGGCGATTGGTGCCTCTCGCCCATCCTCCATGACGTGGCTCAAAACCGCGCCAACCCCATTGGCCGCCAAAACCAACAGTTTGGACTCATCGTAGTGAGTCAGCACAGCATTTGACGATAACAGTCCTTTTACCGATACAAACGCCTTCTGTTGCTTCTCTCCCCACTCCCATTTTGCCCCCTTGTGCAGTAACGCATGCAAAGGCTCAGCTACTGAGGCCTTCTGAGGCAGGAACGAGTGGTAAAAGTTTAATATACCAAGAAATGATTGCAGCTCTTTCTTTGAGGTTGGCTGGGGCGCGTTTTGAATAGCCGACACTTTATCTGCAGTCAGGTGAACCCCCTGTTCATCTATTAGGAATCCTAGGAATTCCACTTGCGATACCCCAATATCACATTTTGATCTCTTTACCTTGAGACCCGCTGCTTTGAACTGTTCTAATACAGCCCTGAGGTGGTTCAGCAATTCAGTTTCGTTTGACCCAGCGATAAGCACGTCATCAAAATACGGGACTACTCCCAGCAACCCTCGTAGGAGACCCTCCATAAGACCTTGAAATATACCAGGGGCGACATTTACCCCAAACTGTAACCGATTTACCCGGAAAGCACCTCTGTGAGTTACGATCGTTTGGGCTTCAGCAGCTTGCGCGAAATATGGGACTGCTCCTGGCAACCCTTGTAGGAGACCCTCCATAAGTCCTTGGAATATACCAGGGGTGACATTTACCCCAAACTGTAACCGATTTACCCGGAAAGCACCTCTATGAATTATGATCATTTGGGCTTCAGCAGCTTGCGAGTCCACAGGGAACTGCAGATAAGCCTGTGCCAGATCAAGTTTTGGAAATACCTTTCCTCCCCCCAGGGATGCCAACACATGGCTGATCACAGGTACCGGGTAAGAATGTTGTTGCAAAGCCTTATTGATCGTACACTTGTAATCGGCACATATACGCACAGTTCCATCAGATTTAACCGGTGTTACAGTCGGGGTCTCCCATTTACCATACGGTACAGGTTTGAGAATACCTTGGGCTATGAGCTTGTCCAATTCCACCTCTATTTTAGCCTTCATGGCTATTGGAACCTTTCTATACCTTAGGCGGATTGGCAACATAGAGGGATCCAGGTCAAACCGCACAGCCCTCCACCAAAAACCTCTGGAAACTCTTCATAAATGCAATTCCCTTTATTCGCACACACCTTGTTTACACCTGTT